TTGCAACTCTCTCTCCCTGCTCTCTCCCTTCTGTCTCCCTCCCTTCTTCTTCTACGGGGCATGAGGGGAGCAGAACGCCCCCGCGCGCAGGGCGCGCCCGGAAGGTGTCCAAGGTCCGTGTGACGCTGACACAACTGAGGTCGTGGGCTCATTCATTTCCCCAAAAACAACACCCCCTTACCAAACAAGGTTTATCACTCCCAAACCATGGCGCTTCCCGTTGTGGGACTCCAGGGGCGGTTGGAGTGTAGCGTTGTCTCTACGGTGTCACTGCGAGACATGGACAGTTTGGACGCCTCAGGGCCTGTGAGTGAGTGAGTGAGGGCCTTTGTGACACTGCTCCCCCCCTCTCGCTCTCTCTCTCTCTCTCTCTCTCTCTCTCTCCTGTCTCTCTCGTTCTCGTCAGTTGCCGTGGCTGCCTGTGCCGTAGGAACGGTGCCGGGCTGTGCCGTTGATGCGTCCGTCACCGGGGGTGGCGGCACCGCCTTTGTCCCGGCTGGCGAAGAACTGGAAGTCCTCTCCAAAGAACAACAGGAAAGATCAGAGGCCGATCAGAGGCCGAGAGAATTTCGGAGCTTCTTGCAAGGCATATTGCAAGACTCTGAGCCTCTCAATGCTTCCCTCTCTCTTTCTCTTCCAATTCTCATATTCTCGCCTGCAGGGCGCGGGTTCTCAGCAGCTGCAGGCGCTCGAGCTGCGAGATGCAGTGGAGCACGTACTGCCACGAAGACCCCAAATTGTTGCCCTCGGAGATGCCGATGGCCATGAGCACGCGGATGCATTCGATGTTCTTCTGCCTCATCCTCATAGTTTCCCCGAGTTTTCAGAGAGCAAGGAGGAACATGCTGCATGTTGCTGCCCTTCAGCCCTCTCCGAGCTGCTCTTTAAGAGTGGTCAGGTAGGTGAACTTGGCCAGCGAGGAGACGATGGCATCTGGAACAGAGGAGCAGAGGACGAATGCATACGAAGAAGACGCGCGAACGCGCACGCGCGCCCGGCCCAGCACGCCCGGCCCAGCGGCTTAGCGCGCCCCAGCGCGACCAGTGTGACCTACGGCCCACGCGAGCCTCGCTCCACATCCATGTGCATGCCTGACGGCGAAGTCCGGCCGTCCCCACTCGATTCTGCCATGATTCATATGAGCACTCATATGCAGCCAGGTGGCGTGCTGCTGTGCGAATGCACTGCTGAAAGCCCGTGATGCAAAGTTCAATGCATTCAGGTTCCTCTTGCGTCTCGAGAACGACAGACAGCCTCTGCTGGGAACAAAGGTTTTCCTCATGCCGGAGTGCACACTCAGCTTGAATTTTGCGAGCAGTCAATCTTTGCTCTTCTGTGAGGCCAAGCTACGAGGCGAGCATTGGCCAGCAGGTGGCCTCGAAGAGGGTCCGCGCAAGCTGGCGGACGTCCGCCCCGCGCAAGCTGACGCGCGCCTCGCCTTTGCCCGCTGAGCGATGGCAGGGCACCATCAAATTTTTGCGAAATCACGCGCCTTCCGAAGCCATCGTCTCTTCTGCTTTTGCTACAAGCTTCCAGGCCTGAAGGAAAGGTGCACCGGGTGTACCGTGCAGTACTCAGAGTCCCGAGCTGCAGAGCGCACCTCTCTCAAGAAGAGCTCGCCCTTCTGTGCAGCACTGCGAGCAGCTTGAGACCTATGGAGATTTTGAGTCGGAATTGAAAGGCACAAAAAGCTGCAAAAAGCTGCTGTACACGCCAACTCCACACTGTGGGGCGCCGGCTCGGCGCGAACTCTGGCATCCTCGTTTCGTGAGTTTCGTGCATCTCCCACTCGGCACTCCTCTCAAACAGACTCCCACAGACTCTCCTCATCCTCCTGCAGGGAGAACGGGCTCTTCAGGACCTCACGAGTCGCAGTCAAAGCAGATCAAAGCAGGTCAGCTCTCTCTCTCTCTCTCTGTCGCTCTCTCTGGTTTGTGAAACTTTCGGGTCTGCTTTGGGTCGTCATGTTTCCCCTATACTAGAACAGGAAGGCTCCGGCGCACAATACCCCGTAAACGAGCACTACATACTGCTACATGTACCTTTTTGTTCATGTTCCCTTCCCTCAGTGGTGCTCGCTGTTCGGTCTCAGTGGTTTCTCCCCTCATCTATTCTGGTCCCGCATGGTCACGACGACGTAGTTCGTCTCCCCTAGTGTTGGCTGCGTCGTTGTCTTCCTCCACTTCCACTTCCACCATGTCGTCCTCGTCCTCATCCTGGAGCACGTCGCCGGTCTTGTTCTCGTTGCCCTTGCCTTTCCCCTGTTCTTTGTCTTGTTGTTGTAGGGTTCGCCCCCCTCCGCTTCCCGTGTCACAGGCTGCTCTGCTGCTGCTGCCCCCGCTTGGATGTGTAGTGCATTGTACGTCTTGGCTGTCTTCGACCACCACTGCGATTTCCTCCCCCCACCATGATGCCAACCACCTGTCTATGGCTCTGACTGCTCCCCGGATCTCTTCCGCGATGGGCTCCTCCAGGAACGCCACGAAGTTGCACAGTATGTTTCGGGCTTCCATGAGGTCTCCTGTTGTGACTGTCTGGCCTTCCCTCGACGTTGCTTCTTCCCCCCCTTCTTGCAGTGCAAGCACATCTGCTGGGTGCACTGGCGTTGTTTCTGGGTTGGCGTTGGCGAGCTCGAGGTAAATTTCGTGGCATGCTATGCCCTTCACTGTCGCTCTTACTTGCTGGAGGAGGCGGACGTAGTGTTGCCGGTTGAGCCCCCTCCGGACCATTTGCACCAACTCCGCTATCATGTCTACTGCTTCCCCGCATGCTTGGTTGCCCCTTTGTATCAGCGCGTGTGGCACTCCTGGCGCAGCTGCCAGTCGACGCTGTGCTGCGTCGAACAGGTTGAGCAGCACTCCCAGGTCTTGGGCCAGTTCGATGCGGGTGGGCAGGGGTTGCCCTTCAAGGGGCTGCGCTAACATTTCCCCGATTCGATTCGCCTCTTCCAGCTCCTTGGAGCTCGTCCGGGTTTTCCGCCCAGAGGTATGTGTCATCCATGAACGCTGTTTCAGGGTGGGGCAGCGGCGTGATGTTTGTGGGCCGTTTTTTGAGCATATCGAATGCTCTGTTGAGGGCTTCCCCGACGAGGGTCTTCATTTGCTGCTTTCCGTTTCCCCCCCCCACCTGGGGACGTACCATCACCACCAAGCATGGTTTGCGGTCGCGGCGTCCTTGCCACAGGCTCAAACTCTGGCGTCACAATGTCCCTGGCGGAGTAGTCGCTCCGGCGGATCGGTATGTAGAGGGTGTTCTCACGTAGGCTCGCCGATGCCCTTCTGGTTGTTGTTCACAACTGTCCCCTCCCTTCACAAACAGCAGAACCCTCAGCTCGAACTCGCGTAGTTCTGCACACTCTGCGTTGAGGACGATGGCTGCACGCGGGGCACTGAGCAGTTTCACTCAGGGATGCCCTGGTCTCTCTCTCTCTCTCTCTCTCTCTCTTTCTCTCTCGCTCAAACTCCCCACTCCCTCCAAACTCAAAACTCCCTCAACCCCAAAATTCTCCCAAAGCCCGAGCTGCGATGTCGTAGAGCGCCTCCAAGTATTCCTGACAGGGGAAGACACCGCAACAAACACACAAAGACATTGAATAACAAAAGGTCAACAAAAAGTCAACGAAAAGTACAAAAACACAGCGAGAACTCTTCAAAAGGGTCAGGCTTTTTGCTGTGCATGTCAATGTCAAACACGTCTCTCGAAGCACCTGTGGCAGGTCTTTGCCGCCGTCGATGCCACGATTGTTGCTGATGAACTGAGCCTGGCCAGACAACTGAGAAAGAAAGAGAAAGAGAAAGAGCGAGAGAAGTCTGTTGAGACAAGGGTGTAAGTTGTGGGAAAGACCCCTAAGCAACTCTAAAAAAGTCCGAGAGCCCTGCCTTGGTCATCCGGTCCTGCTGAGAGTGAAAAAGGAAAAACATTGAGTCAACACGTCTGACAAAGTCTCGCATACTCTCGCGGCGTTCCCCCTTTTCCCCCTTTTCCCCCTTTTCCCCCTTTTCCCCCTTTTCCCCCTTTTCCCCCTTTTCCCCCTTTTCCCCCGTTTCCCCCGTTTCCCCCTTTTCCCCCTTTTCCCCCTTTTCCCCCTTTTCCCCCTTTTCCCCCTTTTCCCCCTTTTCCCCCTTTCTCCCCCCCCCCATGGTCTTCTGCTCGGGGGAGTCCTTGTCCTTAATGGATGGCTTGTGCAGGGAAGTCTGCAACATCATGACCTGCGGTAGAGCTGCGCAGCAACGTTGACTCTCTCTCTCTCTCTTTCTCTCTGCCACTCTCTCCCTCGATCTTGCCTTCCTTGCTTTTGTTGAGGAGATACGGCTCAGGGCTTCTTGGGACTTCAAGGGATTTTGCCACTCGTGCTTGGGCGATGCCATTCACATTGTACTCCTTGAAGGTAGGGTTTTGGTGTGTTGGGGCTTTGGGTGCTTTGGGTGCTTTGGATCCCTTTGTATGCAGACGCACAAGGCACAAAGCTTTCATTGAAGCGGTGTGCAAACTGGACACAGGTCGTTGAAAAGGCCGCAGTCAGAAGGCTCTCCCCTCTCTCAATCTTCTCTCTCCTTATCTCCTTATGGAAAACACTCCAAGTCGGCCCCCTGCTGCGTGCTCTGCGTGCTCTGCGTGCTCTGCGTGCTGTTCCCCCCAAACTAAATGGATCGAGAGAAAGAGGCGAGAGCTCCATTTCGAGAGAGAGCAAAAGAAAAGAGAGGCCGAACACGAGAGAAGCGAGAGGCTGCGAAGCACAAAGCTCTTCCTTCTCGCGCAGACTCTCTGTGAGAAGGGCTGCGCGAACTTCTGGGAGCTGTTGTGCGAGTTGGTTTTTCCCCCGCTTCTCCAAGTTCATGTCCTCCTGGGCGCGGGGCCTTTCCGTCCGACAAATGGCAAGTGTATCTCTGGCTTCTAGGGCTTCCTCTGATGCATCTGGTCTTCTGCGTGCATACGGCTAAAAGCTGAGAGCAAGACGCACAGTCGGATATGGGAACATTGGTCGTACAGGTGACTCGTATACACTTTGTTCTGCTTCATTTGGTGCATACGCAATCCACACTGGCTCTCCACACTGGCTCCACTTCTACCTCTCTCTCGGGGCGGGTTTCTGTTCGCCGGGAGGCTGAATACGCCAGCACGTAGACACAATCCTCGTCGGAAAACCTGAGACAGACTCTCAGCTCTGTGCCAGCACTCTCTCCGTTCCCCTCTCCCACTTCTCCTACCTCTCCCACCTCTCCTACCTCTCCTACCTCTCCTACCTCTCCTTCAGCGGGCCTCCCTGGATTGTCTCGGCAGTACTTTGCTGCGAAGTGCTGCATCAGCCGATCGATCTTCTGGCCTTCCCCAGGCAGCCTTCAGTCATGCAAGCAGTCTCCTACAATCTCGGTACAAAAACGTGCGACTGCATGGCAAGATGTTCACCAAACCTTCTCCCCCGTTCCTTCTGTTCTCCTCTCTTCCGTCGAATTTCCTCATTCCTTCCTCCCGTTTTCCTCAGATCCATCTTTTCCTCTCAGATCCGATTGTCCTCTCATTGCCGTTTTTTGTTCCCCTCTCTTCTCTCTTCTCTCCTTCTCACTCAAAGCGAGGGTCTCCCCTAGGGCCTGAAGACTGCCAGGAAGGCGCGAAGGGCTTCGTCGAACTCCTGCTTCCTCAGCGAGACATCTCACAATTCAGTTCACTGCTCCTTCTGTGCTCTGTGCTCCTTCTGTGCTCCTTCTGTGCTCCTTCTGTGCTCCTTCTGTGCTCCTTCTGTGCTCCTTCTGTGCTCCTTCTGTGCTCCTTCTGTGCTCCTTCTGTGCTCCTTCTGTGCTCCTTCTGTGCTCCTGCGACAAACAACCCCCATTTTTCCCAAAGAGGAGTGTGTCTCCTGAGTTTCCTGTTACCGCCTTCTGGGTCGCAGGGCGCGAAGTCGAAGCTTTCCAGCAGCGCGTCCAAAACCTTCTTGTTGAAGGCCTTGTCCTGTGGCCGAAAACCAAAACGTGCACCAAAAAGAAAAGGAAAAGAAGAGGAAAAGAAGAGGAAAAGAAGAGGAAAAGAAGGAGGGTGTAACGACGAAAGGCTGAGGACTCATGCTGGTGCGCGCAAAACAAGCTGCAACAGCCCGCGGCCTCGCCGAGGTAATCACCTCTCCCAAAAGAAAGAGTAGCCCCGTGAGAGCCCCATGAGAGCCCCATTTGAGGCCTCCTACGCTTTACTCTTGGCCCACGCTTGTCACATGTGACTGGAGCTTTTCATAGCTTTTCGTGGCGTTTTCATGCCCCGGTTCAGGAAAACATTGGCGCGACCAGTGTACTCCATGAGTTGGCGACCAAGTTCATAGAAAATAGAAAATTTGCTTTGCCATGCTTTGACGATGCTTTCTGGTCCGCACGACATGGATGCGAATTCTTCTTCTCCATGGGCGTCAATGCTTCGACCGCTTCGACTGCTTCGACTGCTTCGACATGTCGTACATCCGCTTCGTGACCTTTCCAGCTTGTCAGAACAGATCAGACGGCTCAGCTCATCTCCATGATGCGGTCCAATGTGGTCCAATGCGTCGCATCGACACTCGTGTCGCTCCTTCAAAGCTTGGTCTAGTCATTGCCTTCATCAGTTGTTGTTGAAGTCTCAAGAACTGCCAAAGGCATTTATTTTAGCCTTTGTTCAAAGCTGTTCCGCGCAGCTCTGCTCACGTTTGCACCGCATCATGGCATGTGGCCTAGCAAGCAACTTGCAGCGCTGTAGGACGCCAAATACACGGCCACATTCAAAAACAATTCATTGAAAATTCATTCAGTTCAAAGAGTTGAAGAAAGAGCTAGGCAGCTAGATGGTCAAGCAGCGCCGCCCAGAAACCCTCCGCTGCGCAGAGCGCGCTCAAGGTGTCCAGGTGCCGAAGTTGCGGCTTCGGCTCATCGCCCTTCGGCCCTTCGGCCCTTCGGTTTCGTGGAGTGCCTTTGCAGTCCTTTTTGTTTGTCATTCTTTGCTGCCTCGATGTTTCTGAGGAAAACGCTTCCGCATCATGTCCTATCCCTTTAGCTGCGGCAGACAAAGCTCTCAGTCCAGAACTCAGAGGTGTAGCACCCCAGCACAGGCAAAGCACAGCATGGCCCCTTTCTTACTTCGTGTGAAAGGCACGTGGCCACATGCTTCAGAACGAGAAGCACCATTTCCAGTGTTGCCGCTGCGCGTCCGTGTGGTCTGCACACTCCCATGTGTTGGACATGTTTGTGACGCTATATCCCCTCATTCCTTCCGTACCGCTTTGCTCCATGTCCGTCCAAAAAAGACCCCTGGCGCACCAAACCGCGCCTCAAACATGACCTCCTCCAAACCTTCACAAGCATATAGTGTTTTATCAAACGAAGCAATACATTATACATTGTAACATGCTGATGCACATCGCGGTGCTCGTGCTGGCAGGCTTGGGTTCTCCGTAGCAAACCGTCCACAGCCACCGCGGCAAAACCGTGGACCTTACCAAGCCCCACTTGGTAATCTCGTTCTGAAACAGAAGCAATCCACTGTGTTGATTCATGCTCCTGGTCAGCTGGAGACTTTAGTATCCTTCGAGGCATTGCTGGAGGAAGTTGATGACGACCAGACTTGGTGGCATTTCATCTTTGCTCGAAGGTACTGTGTGGAGAAACCCTGAAAGCAGAAATGTTCAAGATGTCTTCGGACATGCTGTGATACTGACTTGATATCTGGCAAGCTTGGTTCAGCCGTAAAGCTGACGCCGTTGATTTGCGCTTTTCGCCAGGGGTGTGTGTGCAGGCTGTGGAGGTGTGTGTGTGTGTGTGGACGGCATTACGAAACGCGCCTATCGTCGTCTTGTCAAGCCCGATCTCCGTGTTCCGGAACAACTTGGCCAGCGCGCCTGCAAGACACAGACACAGACGCAGACGCAGACGCAGACGCAGACACAGACGCAGACGCAGACGCAGACGCAGACACACACAGACACACACAGACACACACAGACACACAGAGACACACAGAGACACACAGAGACACACAGAGACACACAGAGACACACAGAGACACACAGAGACACACAGAGACACACAGAGACACACAGAGACACACAGAGACACAGAGACACACAGAGACACACAGAGACACACAGAGACACACAGAGACACACAGAGACACACAGAGACACACAGAGACACACAGAGACACACAGAGACACACAGAGACACACAGAGACACACACACAGAGACACACAGAGAGACACAGAGACACACAGAGACACACAGAGACACACACAGAGACACACAGAGACACCACACAGAGACACACAGAGACACACACAGAGACACAGAGACACAGAGACACAGAGACACAGAGACACAGAGACACAGAGACACAGAGACACAGAGACACAGAGACACAGAGACACAGAGACACAGAGACACAGAGACACAGAGACACAGAGACACAGAGACACAGAGACACAGACGCACACACACACACACACACACACCCACACCCACACCCACACCCACACCCACACCCACACCCACACCCACACACGCACACACACACACACACACACAGAGACTGAGAGACACAGAGACAGACAGACAGACAGACAGACAGACAGACAGACAGACAGACAGACAGACAGACAGACAGACAGACAGACAGACAGACAGACACACACACACACACACACACACATATATGAAGCCACTCAAGGCAAGTTTTTAGGACGATGTTTTGGGATTCTTTACAAACAACTGCAATGCACAGCCAGCTTCCTAAACATCACACATTGAATCAGACGGAAAATCATTGCAGGTACACAAGGAGGCGTCCATCCCTGCTTCACAAGCTCTAACTGGGTGTCTTCGTTGGAGCCCGTCCCAGTTAGGCTCCGAGAGCCCCCTGCAGAGGTTTACGAACTGGCACAACTGCAAGTGACGTTGGTAGCAGGCACGCACAGACACGCAGATACAGACACACGGACACACAGACACACAGAGACACACAGACACGTAGACACACGGACACAAACACACAAACACGCAGAGACACGGACACACAGACACACGGACACGCAGACACACGGACACGCAGACACACGGACACGCAGACACACGGACACACAGACAGACAGACAGACACACAGACACACACACACACACACACACACACACACTCACACACACACACACACACACACACACACACACTTACTTTTTGTTTTAGTGCTCACTGAGACTTGTAGTGGATGCTGTTCCGGAAATGGATATTCTCGAACAAGAGGTAGTAGACGAACTCGTGAGTGATGAGGTAGAAAGGTCGCGAATGAAGTGTTATGTGAAAATATCAAACTCCAAACATGACGACTCGTGTCTCACATGAATGCTCTGACGCACACACATGCTC